CACTAAGCATGTGGGTATCTCTTAGTGTATGTAGGTGAATGATTGACACGGAATGTGTGAGTCAATAACAGAGGTAATAACTAGTATAACTAAACAATTATATGAAACGAGCAACAGTCAGTATGCGAGTTTAAGAAAGTCTACTTTAGCCAGAATGGCCAGGCTTGCTTGCAGACCGTGTCAGGTTTCCGAGTCTGTGCTTGGGGATCGGGGGATGAATGGTCTCGTGGTGGCTGGATCTCCCATCCGGGCTGGTCCTGTTCGGGCTGTTATCTGGAGAGCGTCCGATGGTCCCAAAAGTGTGAGGACTGCGAGTATGTCTGCCTCCGATGTGGCTCTGTGGATAGTCCCCTTGTGCGGAATCAGCAGGGTCCGCGGCGTACCCCATCTGTACTGTATGCCTGCGGTTCTCAGGCGGCTAGTTAAGTGTTTTATTGATCTCCGCCAGAGTAGTGTCGCTCGGGTGAGGTCTTGGAAAAAAAGTAGGTTGGCGTTTTCGAATGGCAGGGGAGTCTTGCCTCTGATTGCCGCCAGTATTGCTGCTTTATCTTGTGTTGTGGCACACTTTAATATAACGTCCTTAGCCTCCGCGGCTGGTGTGGTGTTCCCAGTTTGCAGCCGAAATATGCCTTCTAGGGCGAGTTTTCTGGCAGTAGTTGGCGGTAGTATGGAGGCAAGAAGCCTCCTCACAAAGTGGGGCAACTCCTCTGTGGTGATTTCTTTTGGGACTCCTCTGAGCTTAATGTGGTTGCGACGCAGGCGGTCCTCCTGGGTGGCCACCTGCGCCGCCAGTGCCTGGTGGGCTGTCTGCAGGGACTGCAGGGCTGCGGTGAGATTTGTTGTCCCACTGGTTAGTGATTGTATGTCCCCTTCTATGGCACTCACCCTCTCCGCAGTTTTACGTACGTCCGTCTTGGGAGTGCCAATATCCGCGGCTAGCAGGGTTTGAATTTCCTGCATCCATGTTTGCAAGTCTTGTTTTGTAGCAAAGGTATTCTCGCTCAGCTCTGTGCCAGCCAGGGGTGAGTTGGGTCGCTTGTCCTCAGGCCCTAGCTCCAGTGCGTGTGCCCGCTCCAATAGTGGTGGCGGGGGGCCTACTGTGGAGGATCTCGTCGCGGCCATTTTGGAAGGTGCTTGTCGTTGCAGCATTTCCCCGATGGTCTGCTGCCGATGCCGGGTACTGCTTTTGCGTGCGACGCCCCATGGTTGCAGTGGGGCTGCTGTGTGTTGCGGTAGCCATCCCCTCCGAGTCTGGGCGGTATTCCGTCCCGATGTTGTCTAGGAGAGTCTCCAGGCCGTAGCTCGTGGGAGTGAGGTAGGCCCGGTGTTTTTGTTTCACCTTTCTGGGCTTCGTTTGGTGAAAGAAGGGCATTAGTCGGCTCCTCTCAGTTACCCCGTGTTCGGGGTGGGGTTGATGTCTGCGGATGGGTTAAGATGCCCGTGATATTCTCAAGTTTATCGTTACGAGGTCGGGAGCTGATGGAGATGGCGTCCGTTCAGCTCTGCTCCCAAGCCCCGCCCCAAATGGTAGTATTTTAACGCTTTCCATGCACTAATTCTACCACTAGTCTTTGTCAAACTTTTGGGTAGTTATTTGTTTGTGTTATTTTTCTCTCAAATTGTACTTTAGGCATGGATTCTCAGTTCCTGTTATGTGTTACTGACAAAGAACACCCCAATATGTGTTCAGCAACATCTCCCAAGTACAACAGTGCCTCCAATTATGAGGTTTTTCAGACTTACAGGGGTCAAATGTAGGACTTTCCCCTTTTCCATGTTTGCACATTGAAATTTGCCAGATTGGTTTGCTGGGCCTATGTTGCCTTTGAGACTGTATAGCAGCCCAGGAAAGAAAATTAACCCCATTATGGCATACCATTTGTAAAAGTAGACAACCCAGGGTATTCCAAATGGGGTATTTCCAGTCTTTTGTAGTAGCCACTTAATCACAAACGCTAGCCAAAGTAAGCGTTTTTATTTGTTTTTTGCATTTTATTACACAAAAACTGCACTTTTACTGGTGATTTCATCGTTGTGATTAATTTTTCTGTTGTAAACACTCATTTTTGTGTTCAGCGAAGTCTCCCGAGTATAACAATACCCCCAATGTACAGGTTTTATGGTGGTTTGAAAAGGTACAGGGTCAATATAGGACTTGCCCAATTCAGTTTGCTAGATTGGTTTGCTGGGTCTGTGTTGCCTTTTGAGACCATATGGTAACCCAGGAATGTGAAATAACCCCATCAAGGCATACCATTTTCAAATGTAGACAACCCAGGGTATTCCAATGGGGTATTTCCAGTCTTTTGTAGTAGCCACTTAGTCAAAAACGCTGGCCAAAGTTAGTTTTCTTGTTTGTTTTTTGCATTTTTTTTATCGTTGTGATAAGATTTACTGTTTTGAAACACTCATATTTGTGTTCAGCGAAGTCTCCCGAGTATAAAAATACCCTCCATGTTCGGAGTTGTAGAAAGTTACAGGGTTTACTATAAGACTTGCCAATTAAATTCTCTGGACCGTCTGCCTGGGTTGTCACTCAGGTCTCTCAAATTATAATTAGTAAACTCAAATAATTATGTAAAATTAATAGTTAAGTATATATGTAGAATATATATATATATATATATATATATATAGTTTTTTTAATTAAAAAGTGTGTATATATATATATATATATATAAATAAATATATATTACAAGTGTATATATATATATATATATATATATATACACACACACTTTTATTTACTATATATGTATAGTATATTATAAAATAAAGCATTTTATAATATATTATACATATATGATACATGTATATGATTTCATTATAAGTGTACTTTGTGATATATATAAATACATATCACAAACTACACTTATAATGAAATTATATCCATGCATTATATATGTATAATATATTATAAAATGGGGGTGAGGGGACTGCCTGACAGCTCAGACAGTCCCCCTGCAGGCAGCTCCATAGACTCATGGGCTTTATTTGACCAAGATCAGACTCGACATATTGTTGCACGTTAGTCTTGTAAAGATTAGGAGGCACCTCAAGAGGCTCTCTGATAACCACCAATAGTGTCCTTAGGAAAAAACATAATCCCCATATTTGTTTGCTGATAGGTGATTTTACATAGCCTTGTAAAATTTTAATATGTATTTTTATGTGTGTGCGGTTCCTTAATCTGTATTACGTATACATTTTGCTAAATATGGCAGCTCCATTCCTGCAAAATGCATGTTCATGGTGTGTCCCAAATTCCTTTTGGTCTTTTAATGCTTATTACACAAAAATGTTTACATCCAAAGCCCCAGCCTTTTTTAGGGTCCGTCGTCCCCCCAATACTCAGTGATGACACCAGGACCTACTGCCACTAAACATTTGTTAATGCATCGCCACCATCTTGCTAAATAGAATATGGCAGTGTGTCAGAATTTGTTTCCTCTGCCCTCCATATGGCATGTGTGTAAAAGGATGCACATGCCTAGTTCATCGTGCTCTCAGGAGCTTCATTGTTAAAAGGGGGTGACTCGACGCTGAAAGAAGGAGAGTAAAGATTGGCAACCAATGACAAAGTTGACAAATATTGTGCAACTTGATAAAATCAATTTTTTGTAAATCTACAGTTTCTACCTAAGTAAAAGTAGTACCTACTTTTTTTTATGTATAACTTTATAAAACGTAATTGTGACAGAACACTCTGTCAATTAAAATACTCTATTCATATGTTTTCCCTTTTTAGTTCGGTGACCGAACAAAGTCACGGATATCCCCTTTGATACCCCCCGTACTCAGCCCACCTTGGAGCTTGTTAACCCTGTTGACTCCTCTTAACACCTCCATCATCGGTTCACACCTAATTATTTAAAGTGTTCTGCTGGGTGGCTGGCGTTCGCATGAACAAACACGTGGGTGGCCATCTTGTTGCACAAAACCAGGCAGCGGTGTTCAGACGTCGAGTGCATGGAACTAAAATCGGACAGACTAACTCGCGAAAACCGCTGAATTTACATCATTGCCTGCTTTGTTGCTAAACACCTCAGGAGAGTGTTGTTCAGCAGGATTGTTTGCACAAACTAGGTGAACAATCACTACCTATGAACCAGAAAAACTGTTATGCGTTTGATTTTGGGACTACTGAAAGTGGCCGACCGCTAACTCAATTCTCATGGAACTATTCTGGGCAGTAGCCACGTGTGCGGTCAGTCAAAACTTTATCCCGGTGGCGATTTAGCTGTATTCATGGGATCTGAGTGCTATTTGGACATGTTGGGCGCTCAGATCCAGGCTATCCAGGGATTTGGGACTTGTGGGGGTCCCTTGTAATATTGTGTGTATTTTGGTGTGTTTGATATTTTTTACGCTGTACCTCTGTGCCTGGGAGATAATTCGTTTAAGCAGAGTACACTCAATTATCTCCCAGACACAGAGACGCTGGGGAGGAGTCTGTATTGAACTGTATGGAGACCCCATGCTGGGGGTCTGTGTATAAATTGCGTGTACCATGTCCCATTAAACCAGTTCACTCCCAGCATTAAGTCTCGACTAATGTCTGTGGGGGGCAGAAGCTATAATCACTCCTGAGCTGTAATTACTTAAGTCTTCACAGCGGAAATCCAGAGAGGGTGAAAAGGACATCCTTGGCGGTGAAGCCAGTGTCCCTATCCGGGTGGTCGCCACAGTAATTTCAACAGAACAAAAGGCTACTTAGGGTAACACAGTGGATCACTTAAAATTAAAAAAAAAAAAAATAGTGACAGCCGCTTTAAGGAAATGAGGGGGCTTAAATTTAAAACAATAAATACTCAAATGTCAAAAATAAATATATCTATTTAGATGTTGCAGTGTTCCTGGTACTTATATAACCGTGAAACACACTCCTGTTTGTTTAATAAATTCATCGAGAAACATGGTTTAACCCTTTCCTTCATGTTACAGAGGCACAGTGCCTGCAGCTGCCCACCCTGGCTGGCTCACTCTCTCTCCGTGTCTCTGTGTCTGTCTGCACGGAGCTCCCTCCCCGCTGCGCTCAGCACACACAGAGCCAGCTCTGCGCTTCCTTATAAGGAGATCCCGCCAGGACACAGGAAGTGCTTGTTGTCACCCAGAATAACTTCCCCAGTCCCGGTCTCCGCTCCCTCGTGCTGTGCGGATAGCTGTCCCGGGGGATCCAGGATCGCTCGCACACCGTGACCGGAGCCAGCAGTGGGCGCCATGCAGGTGAGAGCGAGGCCGGACTGACAGCACAGCTCGCCCTCCGCCATGGGAACCGTGATTGTTATTCCATGGGCGGCTGCCTGTATAGAGCGTATCGGGGTGGGGAGAACGGACATTGTGTTATTCTTTTATATAATGGGGTCCTGTCACTGTGATCATGTGTAAGGGGGCTGTGCTTTCTGTAAGGGGCTGCGCTTTCTGTGAGTCCCAGGTATATTGAGTGATAAATCTTACTGTTTATCAACTGAGGGCAGATACAGAGAAATCTAATTCCAGGTTTATTTACAGTTAATTTCCACATAATTATGGGAAATATAATCTAAAAGCAGATGAAGGGCCAAAACAGAGCATCCCCTATTGCAGGGGTAGGCAACCTACGGCACTAGTGTCATGCACGGCACTCGAGGTGTCTTTGCACGGCACTCAAGGCTGCTAGAGCCAAACAGGGTCTGGCCTATCAGGAGTCTCAGTAAAACTTCAGATATCTGCTAATACAAAGAGGTGGTGAAGGACAATCCTCAATTTATGCATTGCAGCACATAGAGGAAGTGATCTCAGAGCACTTCCTCCCAGCACTTGTGAATGGGAATCCACACTGTAGTAAAGCAGCTCGCAGCTCCTGTCCTTGACCTGTATCTGGCCGGCCTGGTCCCCACTGGAACCCAGGGAAGCCACCCACACTGCTAGATATACACAGAAATGCAGAATAACCCTCCCCTCATACAAATAATATTACAGAGGGCCACACACAAACATACACACAATCTGCTTAAACGTAACACCACTAACAATCCACATATATTCACACAACCCCACATGTAGCCTCTCACATGCAATACCCCAAACAGCCCCCACACACTACCAAACACACAATGTGACATATCCATCCACACACACAATTCCACAAGCAGCCCCCATACACAGACCACATTCATATGTATCATACACAATACCATAAACTACTCATGAACATATACAATATAATAGCTCAAATACACACAAATACGATACAAAGCAATTACAGTAAAAATAACACAAGCAGAATATGGCAGCAAACACACTTCAATTTAAAAAAAAAAAATAGGACCGGCATGCTACGGGACATCACAATCCTATATCGGCACAGTGCTGCTAAAAGGTTGCCTACCCCTGCCCTAGGGCTAAGCTCAATATAACCAACATGTCATTCCCTAATAACATTACAGAGTGATTGCAATACATCACAGCTCTGGGCACATTAAATATTTGCCCCAAGCTGAGGATTTTGGGTGCGGGTACCCAGTATCTCAGAACTGCCCATTAGGATTGCTGTATATGTTTTCCTGGAAACGTGCGTTCATGATGTTGATGGTATGTGCTTGGAAAGTGCTGCCTATTAATACAACTTATATGGTGCAGGGTTCTGGGGTTGGTCCGTTACTGGGTCACCTCGGCACTAATCCGAAAAAGATACAGTACTTTTTTCACAGTTTTTTTTGTGAATGGGGAGCTACTATCAGCCTATAAGCAGTGTCCAGTCTGAGGTTTTATGATTTAAGCCTCTGACTCAAACGGAAGTGGAGGGGCAGTACCAGAAGTTAAGACCGTTCGTTAATGGTCGTTCTGGGTGCCGGGCAGGAAAATTTTCAATTTATTTTCCTATTCTTTTCCCTAACACATGGACGGGCCAGGGAGTGTTTTTTGGTTTGAACCTCCATTGGATGCAAGTACAGTAATCGCACCCTTACTGTCCTGCACTTACTAATGAGTATGGGGCCACTAGGAAGCAATCACTGTGCTTTGCACCCAAAGGAGCTGCAAAACACAGGCTTTCCGGGCTGCTCTATGTTTGACCCAGGCTGTCATATTGTCAGCTTGTGAGTGAGGGGGGTGGCATTGGGCTCAGCATCAGAATTTCAATCTGCTTAATGCTGAGATGCCCTCCCCACATACAGACACCTGACAAACTACACACTGCAAGTATAGTATGAGTAAGGACAGAGGGATAGACAAGGTGTGGCCCTCAGTATTTCTATTTAAAATTATTTTGTGGGCCAGAACAAGTCGCTTTTGACATGGATTGGGTTACCACTCTAGTCTCGTGGACAAGTAGATTTCTACTACTCTGATGATTTAACTCCTAAAGGTAAGTTTTCACCAAGGATCTCCATGTACTATAACAAATTAAAGGTAATCTATAGTGTTAGCCATACAAAGTTGTATTCCTAACTCCATAGTGCCCCTTGGGCCCACCCCTTCCCTCTTGCCTCTTATGGCTCTTAAATGGATAAAAACTTTTAATTTACTTACCTAATTCTAGCTTTGACATCATCCGATGGGGGTACCTAATGCGCATACAGAGCATGAGGATGTCCAGCATCGTTTAAAGGACCACTATAGTGCCAGGAAAACATACTCGTTTTCCTGGCACTATAGTGCCCTGAGGGTGCCCCCACCCTCAGGGACCCCCTCCCGCCCGGCTCTGGAAAGGGGAAAAGGGGTAAAACTTACCTTTTTCCAGCGCGGGGAGCGCCCGATCCGCGCCGCTGAATGCGCACGCAGCGGCAAGAGCCATTCAGCCGCATAGGAAAGCATTTACAATGCTTTCCTATGGACGCTTGCGTGCTCTCACTGTGAAAATTACAGTGAGAAGCACGCAAGCGCCTCTAGTGGCTGTCAATGAGACAGCCACTAGAGGATTAGGGGGAAGGCTTAACCCATTCATAATTATAGCAGTTTCTCTGAAACTGCTATAATTATGAAAAAATGGATTAAGCCTAGAAGGACCTGGCACCCAGACCACTTCATTAAGCTGAAGTGGTCTGGGTGCCTAGAGTGGTCCTTTAAGTTACTCAGATTCTGCTAGAATCCAGGAAGTACCTCTAGTGGCTGTCTAGTAGACTACCACTAGACTGTATTAGTACTGCAATATAAACATTGCAGTTTGAGATACTGCAATGTTTTACATTGCAGGACTAAGGGGGACAGGGGCACTGCACATAGACCACTTCAATGAGCTCTGGGTGCCTATAGTGTTCCTTTAATTCTGTTTAAGTTGCTATGGTGCCTGGAGTGTTAGTTTAATCAGTAGCCAAATATCCTTGGCTTTAATTTTATTAATTTTTATTTCTTTTTACCAATATTAGCAATGGGTTATGTACAGTAAGACCGATGTAAATACTAAGAAGCACTAATGGTGTGATGCCTAATCGAACATTTGTATATTACTATAGAAGCTACCTTTTTGATACAATAATTGCATTTTAACCTGTTTTTAAATTTGTTCAGCAGGAGCACAACACAATCTCTAGTATACACTGATTTCTCCTGGTGTATCATGTGCCAGTGCATTTTGTTCTGGTCGTTAAAGCAGACCATTACCATGCATCTTATGGCTTCTCCAGTACTGTTTCCAGCTGTTTCAGCTACAAAGGTTACCTAAAACAGCTGTATCTCTAAAAGTGACCTAGCTCTAGATTGTAAGCAACAAGACCCCTCTCTGTTCTTGTGACTGTTGTAAACGTGCACATTGTCTCACATAATGGAACCTTTTAATGCTGTGATCTATTAAAAGACCACTATAGACACCCAGACCACTTCAGCTCAATGAAGTGATCTGGGTGCCAGGTCCATCTAGGGTTACCCTGCAGCAGTAAACATAGCAGTTTAGTGGTCCTTTAAGAGTGTTTTTGTATTTCTGTCTGCCTGTAATTTTTTTTGTTGTTGTTTGTTTTTTGTTTTTATTGAAGTGTCTTGATATCTCCATTTCTTGCATAGGATCCAAATGCCGACACAGAGTGGAATGATATTTTACGTAAAAAGGGCATCCTTCCTCCAAAAGAGACCCCAAAGGATGAGGAGGCAGAAGAAGAAGATGTCCTTCAGCAACAGTCAGTAGGTGAGTGACAGACAAATGCAGGCTGGTTATGCTGTGCAGTAGAACAAGGCTGCAGCATTTGTTTTTTCTTACTTGACAATGTTACAAACTTACGCCCTATTCTAAGCGGCTCTAAACGCCGCCGGGCGTAATAGTACGCCCTCCGGTCTTTTCCTACTTACCCGGTCGCCGGCGATCGCTGTTCGGGGGACTCCCAGGGAGCCCACCGCGGCACCTCCGACCCCCTGGAAGCCCCCCGGCCATGTGAGAGTGGTGTCCTTGCGAGGACCCCACAATCACATGGCCGGGGGTAGCTGGCTGCAGCATTGCCAGCAGGGGGACTGCCTGTAATGACAGGTGGTCCCCCTGCTGGCTGAAAATAAAATGAAATAAAATAAATAGTGTAAAAAATAAATTAATAATAATAATAATAATAATATATACTGTGTGTGTGTGTGTGTGTGTGTGTGTGTGTGTGTGTGTGTTAAAAAAAATAATTGAAAAAATATATAGATGTGTGTTATTTTGTTCTAACTGTATTGTGAAATTAATATATATAAATAAAAATATTTAAAAAAAATTATATAGATATATACATATATATTTATGTAATATTTTTACATAATTAGGTATCTTAATTAATTACAATTAGCGGGACCTGCCTGACAACCCATGCCGAAAGTAAAGGGAATTTAATTTGCTAGCATTTAACCCTATAACTTTCCAAGACACCATAAAACCTGTACATGGGGGGTACTGTTCTACTCTGGAGACTTTGCTGAACACAAATATTAGTGTTTCAAAACAGTAAAATGTATTACAACGATGATATCGCCAGTAAAAGTGACGTTTTTTGCATTTTTCACCCACAAACAGCACTTACACGGACGATATTATTGCTGCGATACTTTTTTACTGTTTTGAAACACAAATATTTGTGTTCAGCTAAGTCTCCCGAGTACAACAGTACCCCTCATGTACAGGTTTTATGGTGTTTTCAAAAGTTACAGCGTCAAATATAAGGCTTGCGTTTCATTTTTTTCACATTAAAATTTGCTAGATTGGTTACGTTGCCTTTGAGACCCTATGGTAGCCCAAGAATGAAAATTACCCCTATGATGGTATACCATTTGCAATAGTAGACAACCCAAGGTATTGCAAACAGGGTATGTCCAGTCTTTTTTAGTAGCCACTTAGTCACAAACACTGGCCAAAATTGGCGTTTTTTGCATTTTTCACACACAAACAAATACTAACGCTAACTTTGGCCAGTGTTTGTGACCAAATGGCTACTAAAAAGACTGGACAAACCCCATTTGCAATACCTTGGGTTGTCTACTATTGCAAATGGTATGCCGTTATGGGTGTAAATTTCATTCCTAGGCTACTATACAGTCTAAGGCAACGTAACCAATCTGGCGAATTTCAATTTCAAATGTAACGTGCTATATTTGACCCTGTAACTTCCCAAAACGCCATAAAACCTGTACATAGGGGGTACTGTCTTACACATGAAGCTTTGCTCAATACAAATGTATTTTTTATTTTATTTTTTTTGCAGTAAAAGCAAACGGTATTATGACATTGACAGTTAAAATGTCATGTAGAACTAAAAAAAATTTTTTTTTTTTCATATTAAATTATGTTTCATAGCTAAATATTTGATATTAAATGAAAGCCCTGAATAAAATGATATATAATAAGGGTGGGTGCATTTACTATGAAAGAGGTGAATTAAGGTTGGACAGACATGTAGCGCAAATGCCAGGTTTTGTTTACATTTTGTTTTGTTCACAACGTGTACATTTGGCTCCATCCTTAAGGGGTTAAAACAAGTACATTTCCATACTCCTATAGAATACACACTTTGAGTCCTGCTAGGAGAAAATGAACTGTAAACATTGTCTTGAGCAGGTTGCACAGTATGGGGGGAGTTGGGAAGGGGAAAAATATACGCAATAAGACTAATAAAAACAGATCTACCTATACATAATAAAATAATGACCCGTAGTATCATAGAAAGTCAAACAAAAAAGAATAAATGAGAAATTCCTGTTTGTAAAAGTATCTGCTCACAAAAAGAAGTGGGGGAGAGCTTAGAGGCAATGTAAAAAAACAAGCTATTTGTAAGCATAACAAACATTTAAAATCCGCATAAACGTATGACTGCGAAAATTTTATTTAGTATAAAAGTGTAATGAAAATGCAGTACCCACAATGAGGGATGCAGTACTTGAGACAAGAGGGGAGCAGGGGGAAAATTTAAGGTAATCAAGATAGAACCTTAAAAACATATGCACAGACTGCTAAGATGTGATGCAATTTCCAAGGTAATTGGTATGATAAAATGAATAACTTTTCTAAAAGTGAAGCAATGCTTTAAAGGTATTTAGTGAGGTGAAGAGTATTTCACAGTATCAAATGCTTTTCAAGCATTTATAGTCTGATTTGCCTTCAGTTAGGCATACTGGGCATGCAATCTTGTCAAACACGTGTGGCTACCAGAGTGATATTCTTAGAAGTAAGAATATATTTCAACTGAGAATCACTTAAAATGGCAGCACTCCCAGAGGAGGTGAACAGAACGCCTCACTAAAATTTAAGTATGTAATTACATTCGTTGCAAACTAGTTTAACTAAGTTGTAGAAGGTAAATTGAGTTTTCTTTTTATTGCCATTTGTTTATTTTTGCTTTTGTTATTGATCCCTACCTTAGAATTGTTTCTTATAATATATCCATAATATTGTCATATCTGTTCCCGTAATAACATTTTCCAACTAAATAAAGCAGACTAAATTTGAAATAAAATTGTACTACTATTATAATTCAAGTGTTGCTTTAAATAAGGAGGCCACAAAGTGATATGAGCGACCTTAAAACTACCTTTTATTAAGCTATGTTTCCATCTTTTGCTCCAGTTAAGACCTATGAAAACATGACACTGGAGGAGCTGGAAGAAAATGAAGATGACTTTAATGAGGAAGATGAGCATGCCATAGAACTATACAGGTCTGTAACTTTTCATTGGAAGTGCCGAGATGTGTGTTAAAGGAACACTGTAGCTTTAGAAATACTGGTTTGTATTCCTAATGCTACAGGGTCCAGTTTGTAAAAATAAAGGTTTAACTTAACTTTTTTCTCCGGCGCTGAGACTCCCTCTGTGCCACTGACACTCCATGTCTGCAACATCATCGTGGAGGCATTGCATCCAATGCGTTAATCCTATCCATTGTACCACATACAGGAGCATCAGGGACGTGATGCACATATGTGGCGTCTGCGCTTCCAATCAAATGCTTCTCATAGGAAAACATTGAATTCAATGCTTTCCTATGAGCTGCATTTGGTCATGTTTCTAAACAAATGTAATGGTTTTTACATTGTAGGGTTAAAAGGACATCAACACTTCATAGAGGTGAAATAATCTTGGTAACTTTAGTAGTTATTTTAAATGTATTGGTGGCAGACAATTGCTGGGTATGTGCTTGATTTTATGTTTGTACTATACAATTTTCTGTATTATGCTTTTAGTCCCCTCTGAATGCAACCCAACAGTTTGTTTACAAAAATTATGGCTTTCAATTTATTTTTATTTTTTTTTCAGGCGGCAACGAATGGCTCAGTGGCAAGCAACTCAAGTGAAAAATAAATTTGGCGAGTTGGGAGAAATATCAGGACAGGATTATGTCAAAGAAGTGACAGAAGCAGGCAAAGGCATTTGGGTCATTTTGCATCTTTATAAGCAAGGGTAAGCTATATTGTTCAGAGCAATTAGTTTTGAAAAGTCTTCTTGAATATTCCAGTCGAATTATTAGTGGGATCCTAATCTACGCAGATTTCCTTCAATTAAGAACATTAGAAATCAGGTAGTTACCATTTGTACGGCAGGGTAAACACCGGTGTGTTTCATGACAAAGTGCTATGCAATAGGGGTATATCCATTAAACAATGTGAAAGATTCTGTCATAGGCAAATGCCAATGAATCCATTGAGTGAGAGGGAAAGACAAGAATCTGTCCCATTCTAAAACCAGTGATTCATCCATTTTGGGGTTAATTCACGAGAGTGACAGTTGATTGATGTGGTAACCAGTAAATCCTTCCGAATTAAAGGAGCATCCGATAAACAAGCCTAGCAAAAAACAATATTAATCCAAGAGTGCAAGGGTTGTCCATAGTACTTAATCCAGGACATTGCTCAGGATCAGCAATGAAGTAATCTTGATATTTTGTAGCGTAACTTGGGTCAAGGAACAACTCTGCTTTTGATACCTAGAATAAATCCGAACTCTTGCAAAATATTTTGTGAGACCTAAATCTACAAGGTGTTCCTGTGAAAGTGTTATGCAACTTTGTCACCTTTTGGAATGTTTCCATGTTTTATTATAGTCTTTCAACAAATTAGGCATTTAAAGGTTCAGCGGACCTGATTTGCAAATGCGCTACTTGGCTGTCGCCACACTCTTTCTGGAATCAGTTAGACATCTAAGCTTCATATAGATAAAAGATGCTCCAAGTGGTGGTGAAAAAATAGAACACACCCTTGAGTCATCTTGTGACTTCCTGTCATTGATACTGCTTGTATCTGCATGAAGAAAGGGTGGAAAAAAAAGTTGTCACTGTAACCTTCTTTTTCAAATAAGTTTTGTTGCATGAATTATTAACTTTTTTTTTTCTTCTGGGGAGATTTTGGCTTTACAGTATTTTCTAGTTGATGTGGGAGGAGAGAGAGAGATCTAATTTTTTTTTTTTTTTTTTGATTGAGCTGCCTGCTCTCTAAGATGCATTTATAAACCCAATTTTTATTTCCATTAATAATATAAAAATAAATACATTGAGTGAGTGGGTTTTTTTTTTTTTTTTTTTTTTTTTAAATTTTTTTTTTTTTTTTTTAATTGTTGCCGCTTATGGTTTTTAAGAAACATTCTAACAACATTGTGCCTGTAAGAAGACAAATCTGGTCATGTAGATTATTCCAAGCATTTAACTTCACTTTGGTTAAAATGTTTGAACAGTTTATTTATTACTGCAATTGGAAAAGTAAAGACTTATTTGAGATTATAGATTCTTTCTGTACTAACTGCATCTGTCTGGTTTTCCTCTTGGTTTCTAGAATCCCAATATGTACTCTGATCAATCAGCACCTAGCTGTACTCGCTACAAAGTTTAAAGATGTGAAATTCCTAAAAGCCATTTCTACAACTTGTATTCCTAACTATCCTGACAAGAATCTGCCCACCATATTTGTATACCTTGATGGAAACATTCAAGCTCAGTTCATCGGGCCACTTGTATTTGGTGGCATGAAGCTTACCAAAGATGGTAAGTGAAATTATGCTACTGTTTTAAGACTACAAATATAAGTAGAGGCTGCTAAACCGTATCAACCTTCAGGAAATTTCTCTGATTGAAAATACGAGGTCATTTCTAAAATGAATGTCAATATTCCCCGTAATCGAGAAATTGGTTCAGAATCAGCTGACATTGTTGGCTGCTTCACAACACTTACGGTTCTTCTATGTTTACATGCACACCAACTGTTTCTCTCAAACTTTTCTTTACAGAATTAGAGTGGAAACTTGCTGAGTCTGGTGCCGTCAAAACAGATCTTGAGGAAAATCCACGAAAGCAGATTCAGGACCAGCTTATGACTTCCATTCGTACTTGTATTCCCACCAGAAAAGACAGTGATTCCGACGACGATTGATGTACTTTGTGTGGTTTTCCATCCAGTGTAACTGGCCTCAGAACTCCATGTTTCTTCTGTGTTAATTCTGACAGACGTTGTATTTAAACTCTTCTGATCAGATACCGTAGGGCCAGTTTATTCTATTGTGCCTAACTGGACTTCCTCACAGTTACTTTAGAGAAGTGGAGTTACTGCAGAGACCTTCATCACATTGTTTTTAGTGAAAATTCAAAGTACAAATCAGGCAAAATCTAAGATGCAACATCATGCATTCTGGTTCATTTTTACTCTCCACAAAATTTTATGCTGATGTACAACCATGTACTTCATGCTTTATAAAATAAGTAACTTTTTGTTTTGTGTGTTTTGATTTTTATGTTGTGTTGTAACGTGTTAATGTACTGATTCATGGTCAACAAATAATTTTTTATATTTAAAATTATTAGGGGTGAAAAATCATGTTTTTTTTTTTTTTTTTTTTTTCACACCTCACATTATATTTGTAAAATGTTACTAGCTGAAATTGTAACTTATGGCAATTTCCTATACAAAGATCCCATACATATTTTCTGTCCATGCCTTTTACAAGAGATGGATTATTTGGTTAGAATTCATATCTTACGTATAATTTATTTTGACTTTGGATTTGTCAAGTGAGGTTTTCTTACTATAACACACATTGTTTTGTTTCATGTAAAGGCCCTCAAAACTTGCATTTTTCTAACAACTTGACTAATGTAGGTAAAAGTCAATAAAAAGACTCTGTTAGACTGTCGTATTTGGAGATTTATGCACTGGATAATGTAAAACTGAGTATTTTTATATCCTGTAGGTTTTGGTTGCCCCGCTAATGTTAAGGCTTTGAGTTCTGCTGCCCCTCCCACTGATTATTCATAAATAGTAAGACCTAGAACCTAATTGAATTTGGGTTTTAAATGGAAGATTTACTATAATTCTATTTTCTTGAATGAAAGGATATTTAAAGGGATTGCTGTGGTTAATTTGACTATTTGAATAGAACCTTTTTATAGACCTGCTAATGTTTTGCAAGACCAGCGTTCAGCCCATATTATGTGGACCACCTTGTCACCTCTGGAATATATTTAATAACAAAAACAAATTTGGCTGTGGGGGATGGAAATAGAGGGAAATTCTTACCCACCTTGGCATTTGAGTGTGAAATCTGTCCTATAACTAAAAAAAAAGTTGAAATTATGCTATTGTTTTAATAAAGCAAATGTAAGTAGAGGCCGAGATAGAGATATATAATCTCCTCTCCTGCAACTGTCAAATATAACCTAAGTTCTCAGTGAATACTTTACTTTTCTAGCAACCTATTTCATTACCCCTACTTATACACTTTGTGTCACTATAACCCACCCACTCCCTCTATCATGTAAGCTCATTGAGCAGGGCCTTCATCACCTGTTCCTGTGCGTGAGTGCACTGGACTTTGTGTAAAATATATATATATATATATAGATTTGTGCTCGGAATTTATCTAATACGTAATGGAATGTAGAAGAGGAAGCAAAGTTGGTTGAGGTGTGCCGAAACCAACGTACGCGTAGGCCTGTAAAAACGAGGGCCCACAAAGGTGAGTGTTAATATAGATGGGTGTAGGTGGGTGGGGACAAATGGCTTGCAAGACAAAGGTAAGTAGGTGGGTAGGGTTTGTATAGGATCATTACTCCTCCCACAAATTCAGGCCAAATGGCCTTCCACCTTGTGCTCGGAATTTATCTAATACGTAACTTTGTAGAAGGGGAACGCAAAGTTGGTTGAGGTGTGCCGAAACCAATGTACGAGTAGGCCTGTAAAAAAGAGGATTCAAAGAAACCACACTTTATTGCAAGTTATTACAGCATGAGTAACGAAAGCTTGTAAGGTGCATCACTCTGATTGAGGTATGTAAGTACCTGAGCTGATGCGTCTTGTGACCCCATTGTTTGTGATGTAGATTGGGTTGTAAGTGTTTGAAGCTGCTGCTGTAGTGCCGTTGGAGAGTGACAGCATAGAATGGTTTTTATGTAAGAAGCTTGGGTTGTGAGTTTAGAGAAAAAGGCAAAAAATTTACCAAGATCATAACAGCGATGTTCTTGAATTTAAGCCAGCTCCTGTATGTGTCATGGTGCGATACAGTAAGCCTTGGCGTATGTGAGGGGAAAGTCATGACCCTGCGTGAAGTGTGCGTACCTGTGCGAGGTGCAATTGTGTGCTTAGTCCCAGATTAGCTCGTGGAAAGGTGGTATCCTAGATGGAAAGTGGTGGGCCGTGGGGAGTTCCTGAAAAAAGGTATCAAATTGGGAGCGTGACAGAGCTTCAGCTGCTGTGTTGTGGACATCAGGAATGTGGTTACAGATTAGGAAGAACTGAGAGGTAGCTGCCAACTACGTCAGCCTGCCAATCAGCCTCATGATTGTTAGGGAGGAGGACCGACCTTTGTTAATGATGTCGCAGGCTGCGGAGTTGTCGGAGAAGCATCTAACTGCCTTGCCGGGCCAAATGTGACCCCATGTGTGGGCGGCCGCTACGATGGGGTAGATCTCAAATAATGTAGATGTTTCTCTAAAGGCCAGCAAGGCATCCGTCTTAGGGGGCCAGTCGTCCCTAAACCAGTGGTTGCCACAGATGGCTGCAAACCCTCTGTGTGAATCGAAGGTAACTGCTCTCAAAGTGGTGGAATAAACAAAGAGATCCATACCAATCGCACAGAAAACTACTCCACATGTGTAAATCCGCCCTAGCCGGATCATCCAACATGATTGGGCATGAGGCGGGCACATCGTGGAGCAAGTTGAGAAGCCTGGAGACACAAAATCTGCCCTGCGGTAGTAGTTTGAAGGCGTTTGTTATATCTGTTTTGCTCAACCAAGCCCCACTACCCGCTAATAAGATGGCCTCCATGGCATCATCAATTTTAGCGTATTGCAGTGAGAACTCCTTGGCGGGAATGAGGGAGTTGATACTAGGAGTAAAGGAAGAGTGAGGTGCAGAGAGATCAATAATTAAACGTTTTTTGTTGGAGTATTTGTGAATGACTATACCGATGGGATTGGTATGCCAAGATGAGAAAGGTGAAGACAGAAACGGGCCGATCATAAAGCCGGCTGTGATTTCTGTAGACAGAAGGTGGTCCACCGTGAGTGGGTCAGTGGAAGCGGATAAAAGGTTAGGGCATTCAAGTGTACCTGTGGGGATGGCGATAAGACCCGTGTGAAACCCCTGTGAAAAACCCGTCACCATATAATCTACCAGGTGCCTAGCTGGATGTGACTGGAGATAGTATTCCAGGATGTCAAAGTTAACTTCGGTCAGGCGTTTCTTAGGTGAGAGAAGGGCTGGGCAAGTGGACTTGGTGTGGGTTCTGAAGCATATGAGCAGATGTGCAGTGCCCTGCATGTCGTGAGATTACATACCCTGGCGTTAAAGTCACTGCACACCCGAGCCTTGCCCAGAAATGTAATGGGACTGTCCAGCGTGTCACACCGACCGGCACCCTGACTAGTGTGTGGGGTGGGAGGGTGGTGAGCCGTGAAAGTGACGGACGTGCTAGTGTGCGTAGTTTGGGAGGTCAGCAGTAGGGACGTAGAGTTAACGTCATTACCCTTGGAAATGCCCTTTCTGATGAAATCAGGGACAGGGTGAGCCGGGGAAACATATGAAGTGGGTATGGCTGAGACCGTCAGGGGAAGGTTTGCTGAGCCCAACAAGGCACCTGGTGTGGCTATAGCGGATTCCAGTTTCGCTAGTCTGTGATTGATAATTTGTAGGTTGGTGAGTATAGCAGCCAGGGTGTCTCGTGTGGAATACGAAGTGTGAGCTGGCAGGATTTGTGAACTACCATCTGGCCTGGGAACGTTGGCCTGAGTGGTCATGAGCCTATATAGTTCAGCCTTTCTGGCCGTGGCAGGAAAGGGGATACCCCTGCATCTGAGATTTTTGGAATGGTCCAGTATCTCAGGGACCTGTGGGAAAAGGGGGTGAGGGATTTCTCCGGAGACCCAGGCCTGATTGGCACGCTGGCTATGTTGCCCGATGGTAGATTGGTGATCGGCTTTTGTGACATCTGAAAGAGAATAATGAATTTGAATAAGTACGATGAAGAGGAGGTGAAGGTGAGACCTCCGGAGAACTGGCCTGCTAGCTAGTGCCGAGGCGAAAAGTTTACCTAGACCAAGTGACAGGTGAGGCCCTGCTAGTGCCAACTGGCGGAGAGAGGCTCTACCTATGATTTGGCCCGAGGGAATATTGTGGCCACATGCACGTGGTGGCGGGGTGTAGTCCTCTCGGTGACTGTACAGACAGTCAAAACGTGTGGCCGTGACTTGGGAAGCCCTGGCTATAGCTCACAAGAAGGGCGAGCGAGGTGGCTAACTATGATTTGGTCGTGGGCCGAATCTCTGTGTATGAGGTAGGGGTGTAGACCTCGCGGGACTGGGTATTGATTAGATAGCTAAAGCCAGAACCTAACCCTAGGAGCCAGTTCTCTAAACTACTGGGGCTTGTCTCTCGCAGTGATGTATATGTACATATGTAAATACTTAACCTTGAGTATAAGTCCTGTTTGTTCGGACAAAGCACAGGTAGACTTTGATATGGCTATAAATTAGCTTCTGCAGAAAACGGGCTCGATCCAGAACCTAAGGAAAAAGGAGATGCTAGTGGGCCTGAGGCGTGCCACCGGTGTGCCATGTGTGAAAATGTAGAACGTATGGGTAGATGTGTACCAGAGATACTGTAACGTAAGCAGAGGGACCTGAACGTTGGTCCATAATAAGAGACAAGCCCCTGGGTAACCAGAGATGTGATTTTTTACGAATGATGCGAAGGCGAAGTGAGGCCTTAAGGAGAACGTAAATGTAACGAGAAAGATAAAAATGACCTGGTACTGAATGCCAGAGACTGGGTAGCCTGCTGGTAGTTGATAACGTAGTGGAACTGCGTAAAATGGCGTAAGTCTAAGTAATTGTATGAAGAAATGATAAATATGAAATGATACGTTAATATAATAGAAGCACGGTTGTGCAGGTTTGTGAGATCATTTGGTGTCTTGGAGAGGCGTCTTAAGCCTGGTGTGTTTAGACGTTTAGAACCCACATTGGGGGGTGGGGGCTTACGTAAGACCGTGGAGGCTGAATGAGACCTCAGGAGAAACGTAAAATTGGTAAAATCCCCCCTTTTTTACCTGATACCATTAACTGGAACCTGGATATCACTTCCTGAAGATTTTTTTTCTTGAAGAAGATTAGATAAACCTAAAACATATGCATTTCTAAGTGTGAGGACCCAGAAAAAAGTTTATTTAAGGAACAGAGAATTGCCGTATGAATTACTAGTCTGAAATGAGCATGGGAAACGGGAGGGGTGGGGGGGGGATAAATTGTTAATAGGCCAACTGTTCTTTTAAGAGGATTCCCCTTGTGTGGAAACCGAAAGTGCTGGCAATTTGTTCATAATTAAATGTAACGGAGGGCTGGGAATTGGTGCCCCACAGTCTTTGTTGTATACGGGGAGTAGACACAAACTATACACTTTTAAGAAATAGGAAAATGTCATATTACAGTTTACATACTGGGATACACACATAGCTTATAGAGAATACCTGTTTAAACCTCCCGTGTTCAGCTACCGAACATGTGAGATGGATTAACAAATAAATCATCTGCAGTCAGTTAAGGTAAACGTTTGCATGTGTGTTCGGCTGTACGAACGTGTCAAACAGCCGAACATAGGGTAAGTATGAGCGGTCAATACATAGTAATTTAGACGAACAAGAAATAAAGGTGTGTGTGAACTCTGTGTTCGGCTGTTAGATGCACGAACGCAAAAGTACACGAATGGCGTAAGGCACGAAACTGGTAAGTAATAAATGGAGCCTATCCCCGCGTTTTTAGGCCTGAACGTGGGAAATAGCCAAATGCCATTTTCCACGTTTGTGCTTACGTGTAGGTGCCGGTCTCGTGACCGGAACGCCGGAAAAACTAGTAACGAAGGCGGTTTAGAAGCCAGTGTTAAACAGCCGAACATAGGGTAAGTATGAGCGGTCAATACATAGTAATTTAGACGAACGAGAAATAAAGGTGTGTGTGAACTCTGCGTTCGGCTGTTAGACGCACAAACGCAGAAGTACACGAATGGCGTAAGGCACAAAACGGGTAAGTAATAAAGGGAGCCTATCCGCGCGTTTTTAGGCCCGAACATGGGAAATAGGCGAACGCCATTTTCCACGTTTGTGCTTACGTGTAGGTGCCGGTCTCGTGACGGGAATGCCGAAAAACTAGTAACGAAGGCGGTTTAGAAGCCAGTGAAGGAGCCCAGAGGCCGGTGACAGAAGCTGGACTGGATACTCGAGGCAGGATTTTGGCGGCAACCTCGACCGGAAGTGCAGGTAACTAAGGAGAAAACGGTTTGCAAGACAAAGGTAAGTAGGGGGGTAGGGTTTATAGAGGATTATTACTCCTCCCACAAATTCAGGCCAAATGGCCTTCCAACATATATATATATATATATATATGTGTGTGTTTTATTCGTGTTTAGGTATAACCAATTATGGATACCCACTAAGTTTTATTAGTCTGTGTGACATTCTGTTTGAATAGTAAAACTCTCAAAAGATTATCATAGAGTGATCTATGATCTAGAACAGGCATAGGCAACCTTCAGCACTCCAGATGTTTTGGACTACACCTCCCATGATGCTTTGCCAGCATTATGGGGGATGTAGTCTACAACATCTGGAGTGCCAAATGTTGCCTATCCCTGATCTAGAATGTGAGATAAGTAAAATATAACCTAAATTCTTGTAGATTTACCAAGACAATTAGATATCCTAATATTTGGTAAAACCATTTTTCTATGCAAAAAACACTTCTTTTTTTGGGGGTGGGGGGGGGTTGTTGGATATGAGCTTGTTTGAGGGGGGGCAATCTGCACCTTCTATTCCTGTACATCTAACTTATCTTGTTGCAAATACAGTGGGACCTCGGTTTACAAATGCCTCGGTTAACATAATTTTCGGTTTACAAATTAAAATCCATTGAAAATAATGCCTCAGTTTACAAATATTTTTCGCAATATAAAGCAAGTTTCCCCAGGATGCATTGCACCTGGGAGGTTTATACCTAAAGAATGTAACTTAATGCATCTGAGGAAATACTTATTAATGAACTTTGTGTTGTTGATTACTTGCACTTCTTCTTATTGGATTATTGCCTAAATGCAATTCATTTAAGTTTAACACTTATTAAAACTTTGTTTGAATCAAGTTACCAGCAATTCTCTCTTTTCTTAAAGCTGCAGTATTGATACTTTAAAGATTCTCCGTTTCTTCACTATTGTAATTAGGGAGTTTTACAAGCTGCAGTTGAGTTCCAATCCAAATCACCCAAGTAGCGTAACAGTCTGTAATATTTCACCAATGTCATTTTGTAAAAGTCACAACAAACATTGAAACAAAATAAGTCTTTTTTTTACTAAAGTGATGACGTAGGCGGGCGTGCGTCTACGTGAGAGGAGGGGCGGTATGGTGGAGGGCGGCCGGCGGCGTTTTGTTTTGGCGGGTGGAGTGAGCGTGGAGTGAGCGACTGAGATGATGATCGGGTGGACGGAACCTGGGACTCAGCTCTCTCTGTAGCCTGCTGAGGATTGTGGGCCATCCGGAGACGCACCGGGGGTCCGGTGAGAAGAGAAGTACTCGATATACAGGCTGGATATACAGGCTGGAAAGATAAGTCTGTTTTCATGTTTTATCGATATTACTAAAACGAACAGAGCAACATTGTATCTGAGAGGGTGAAAGAGAGAAGGGGGATGAGGGTAGAAAACAGAAACTAGTAAAAATATGTTTCTTGCAAAGTACTAGGAGAGAGAAGAAAGTTGAGGGGTGAAGCCTCAAAAAAAAATAATTGGATTATAAATATTGAGGACAAGTTTTGTCTTGTTGTTTAAAAAAAAAGAGAAAAAAAAATATATAAAGAAAAAGAGAGCCTCCCAAAAAAAAGAGGGTAAGGTGAAGCTTGAAGAAAGAAAAAGAGTAAAAAAAGGAGGAAAGGAAACTGAGAAAAATAATAAGAAAGAAAAGGGAAGAATAAAAGTATAGAAGATCTTTTATAGAAAACAAAATGGCAACTAGAAAGCCACAGGAGGAAAGAAAAAAAAGAGAAAAAAAAGACATCATCACTGATAAAAGGTAATCAGGATATTTCTCCCCTCCTCCAAACAAATTCCAACTGAATTCTGAAAATCAGGATAATTCCCCTCCCCCCAAATTTAACTCTAATCCCTCTCATGCTGCTCATGCAGGTAAACCTCTAACTGAAGAGATCTTAATTAATTACCTGGAGAAATTACAGGACAATATTAAAGAAGATAAAGATATTAAAGAAGATATCCAAAAAGGATATATTAAAGAAATATTAAAGAAGATATCCAAAAAGGATCACTAGATTTAAAACAAGAGATAAGAGATATGAAAGTCCAATTGGAATCTATATAGTCTAAGATGATGCAAACAGACTTAAAAAACGTGCACATAGAGTCAGTAATGACAAACTAAATGACTTGGAAGAGCGTTCCAGGAGAACCAATATAAGAATCCGTAATATTCCTGAACAAATTAATGATTCTTCACTGAAAAAATTTCTGATGGCATACTTTGAAACAGTATTATCTCAAGTTGGTCTTCAAGATTCAGAATTAGAAAGATACCACAGGTTACCTAGACCTAGAAATGTGGCAGAATCATTACCAAGAGATGTAATTGTTAAATTTCAATCTTTCTACATTAAAAATCAAATAATGAGTTCTGTGAGAAATAATCCGGTTACAGAAGAGAGATTTAAGAACTTGAAGATTTTCCCTGATTTATCTTTCCATACAAGAGCATGGCGCAAAAGCTTTAGTCAGGAACTATCCATATTAAGAGCCAAAGAAGTGAAATATATATGGGGATTTCCTAAATGCCTTGGGATCTTCTGGAGAGAAAAAAATGAAAAATTTACTACTCTGGATGCCTTGAGAAAATGGATGGAAGAACAATCAATAGCAGGTGTTATATGATTCAGGAATAATAATCAAAAACTGAAGATGTTTTGCAGTTCGCAGTTGTCTGGATGAAAATGAACAATTAGAATTATCTTTTTTTTTTTCTTTTTTTTTTTCTTTTTTTTCTTTCGGGTGGCTTGGTGCGAATAGATAGATAACAATGTAAAGGATGGAGATAAGTTAAAGGTTAAGAATAAGTGTGAATAATAAGTGAATGGTGGGTTTTTGTACACGTTTTAAGATGGATGTTAAGAGTTAATATTTTAAAGGAGAAAATATGCACATAGACTGGGCTAATTCATAAAATTGGATAGTTTTAATACAGTAAAGGGATGCAATTTTTACACATAGAATTAGAAACTGATAAAGAGTTAGGAGCTATTGGAAATTTGAATAAGAACCACGGAAGGAATCAATAATGGATGGATGGATTTTGTATACACAGTAGGAATAGATAAATTATTAACGAATATATACAAATAATCACCATAGGATTAAAATACACGGTTGGATTTGACACATTAAAGAGATAGATTTGTATATATTGTTACACAAATACACAATTGGCTGGGTGGTAACAGTAAGTTGTATTAGAAGCATGGAAGATTTTCTATAAACAACTGGATAGATCTTTTAAAATAATGGAATTATATAAACTGCTAGTGATTATATATCCAGAATTATCAAGGGATGCAGGCTGTAAATAAGGGTGTTTTTTTTTTTTGAGTAATTATATGAGACAGTAGAGTGTTCTCAAATATAAGGAATAAGATTTTCGGTTACTCTCCTCCATACTTGCCCCACCAAGTGTCATCTTTTTTGTTGACACAAATACCGTGATATGGTAATCCTAAATACCATCTCACGAGGACACAGATGGCCCTGGAGTGGTATGCCGAGAGGAAACCTTTCGGGAGCCAGGCTGTGTTGGGCCAGACTGGGTGTTTTTCCCATAAGGCTTTTGTGGGTCTATGTACAATGGACCATTTGTGTTTTATGTAAATGCATTGCAGCTCTCTTGGGGTCAGTGGAAACAATGATTTTTGATTTAAAATGGTAAAGATGATTTCAGTTAATGTCCAAGGCCTTAATTCTTCAATCAAAAAATCTTTAATTTATGATTATATGTTAAGAAATAAAGTGGAAGTGGGCTTTTTCCAAGAAACTCATTGGTTACATATGGATAACCAAAGTTGGGGTGGTTCAAAATTACCCACAATGATACATGCTTCTTTAAGTGGAGGAAAAAAAAGAGGAGTAGCAATAGTATTTTCCCACACATTAAAAGTGGATATAATACATCAAATTAAAGATAAGGAAGGTAGATATGTTATAGTCTGTTGTAGATTGAATGAGATACCATATACATTGACTAATATATATCTTCCCAATGATTTTCCTGCCCCAACTTTAAAAAAGGTTTTAAGTTTAATGGAATCTATCAAAATAGGTACATGTTTGGTGGCTGGGGACTTTAACAGTGTATTGGACCCGATATTAGATAAGAAGACAACTTCAATATTACTACATCAAAAAAGAACAGATAAATTGGCAAAATCTATTAAGAGAAATATGATTAATTTTGATTATTTTGATCTTTGGAGAACGACCAATCCTGATTCATTGGAATATACGTTTTTTTCACGTGTACATCTTTCGTATTCCCGAATAGATATGGTGTGGGGAAATATGATAGCATTGACGAATATTAAATATTTTAAGATACTTGATAATACCTGGTCAGATCACAGTATTAATATGTGGGAGATGAAGAATCAATGGATCAGGATTGGTCGTGATACTTGGCGTATGGACGATAATTTGTTAAAATCTAAGATTAATCTTGATATATTGGAAAAACAAATAGCAACCTTCTTCTTTGAAAATTATCCAAATGACACCTCATATACAAATAACTGGTGTGCTTTTAAATCCACCATGAGAGGGAACATAATAAGTATACAAACAAGATATAAAGTGGAAAATAACAGATCTTTTATGGTATTACAAGTAGAACTGAAAAAGACTGCTAGTAAGAACAAGCAGTTTCCCTCTAAAGAAAATGCAGATGAACTAAAAAGTATTCAGAATAGAATTAATAATTTTCTTATAGCAAAGAATGTAAAAATTAGGAATAAACTTAAAGCTAATTACTATTAGGGAAACCGAGCAGATAGAATTATGACCAAAAAATTAAGAGATAAAATTGGATCTAATAAAATAGTAAAGATAGAGGATGAAGATGGGGTATATCTGGACCCAAAAAAAAATAGGTGAGAGATTTAATAAGTATTATGAGGCTCTGTATAATTTAACTCCCCCGATAACCAATGAGGAGGATTATTTGAGTACAATTAATACACCTAAGCTTACAATAGAACAAACTAATAAGCTAAATACTTTAATTACAGCTCAAGAAGTAGAGGTAGTAATAAATAAATTAAAACCAGATAAGACGCCAGGTCCAGATGGTTTTGCAAATATATTTTATAAATCATTTAAAAAACTTATAGTTCCCCACCTAACAGATATGTTTAACGAAATTGTATCAGTTGGTAAATTTCCTACCGAAATGTTGAGTGCAAATATTCTTCCAATTCTTAAAGATAATAAAGATCCTTTAAAGGTAGAAAATTATAGACCTATCTCCTTAATTAATACTGATGTTAAAATTTTTTCTTCTGTCTTGGCCCATAGATTAAGGCGATTAATGGATAATATAATTAAAAACGACCAAATTGGTTTTGTACAAGGCAGAGATCCAGTAGATAACTCTAGAAGATTATTGGACTTGATAGATGTATCTAGAAGAAATAACAAATCTTTATTTGTACTGGCGGTAGATGCCGAGAAAGCATTCGACAGGGTCGGTTGGGATTTTTTAAGGAAAACTATGGAAAAATTTGGAATTCAGGGAAGGATGCTTAATGCTATTTTGGCATTATATGAAGGCCCAAAAGCAAGAACAGTGGCCCCAAACATATGCGTAGAGTGGTTTACACTTAAAAATGGTACGAGACAGGGTTGTCCTTTGTCGCCGATTTTATATATTATGACAATGGAGATCTTAGCTATTAATATAAGAGATAACCCTCAAATTAAAGGATTCAGACTCAAAGAGAAAGAATTTAAATTAAATCTATATGC